ATCTTTGTTTATAGAATCAAAGAATTTACATCAACACATGATAGGAATAAAGCAATACCAATCGTGGATAGACGGATAAGTGAATCAATAGACAAGAGAGAGTAAAGCCGTATGAAGCAGGTTGGCAAGCCTCGTTTCACGCCTTCATATAATGACGAGCAGTGAATTGTGCTTAAAATAGCATCACACTTGTTAATACTATATTACTGTATGTTATAACAAATAAACTTATTTGATAAGAAATTAGATTTTACTAAAGCGTCCCAATTCCACCTTTATCTGAAATTTCACATCGAATTGCACCTGAAATGCATTCTGTAGATTCTGCTGGATTAGATCTATAGTGTAATCATGAATTCCTATTCTATTATAAAAGTACACCGCTTTTTATGATAGTATTCCGTTTCTTAAATAAAATCAACGGAATATTGATCTTTGCAACCTTAAATTTAGAGCACTGAATAAATCTGATATCTAAAAGTTAGTGGAATTGTGACAATATAGCATACTGATTAGAGTTAGAAGAAAGAATTTATGCTTTGATTAAGTTTACCATAAAAATTTTAGTGTTTCTGAGCTATACTCAGTTCATTAATGAAATGTAGAAGTGACAGATTGTATCAGTAGTGATTCCTGTAACTCCAATTCGGTCAATTTTTCATTTACTCAGTCATTGTTTACTGGTGCAAAGTACTGAGATAATGGTGGAAAATATCATTAAGAAGTAGAAGGAAAGCTGTATGCAACAACATCGAGTGGATCAAATTACTTCTTAGGTAGTCAGTTTTGACTAACTGCTTGATTCTACTTGATAAAATTCAGGTAACACAGTGACTTACCGTAATATACCTTAAATTCATGATTACCTATGAAAACAAACTATCTTAGAACAATGATTACTAATTTATTATTGTTGTTATGCATTAATATATATATATATACAAATGAAGGCGATTAAGCTGGCTAAATAAGCTTATTTTGTGATTATTTGATTCATAAAGAATTCACAATCCTTGGTGGATAGTGGTTATGTTCCACAAAGGACGCATTCGTGGATCGACGATGAGGTCTGTCCTGCGGGTGATAAAGATCATGTATGTTAATTGTACTTTTCTACTACATAATTTTTATCATACAGTAGTTTTGAAAATGTTACATTCTTGTAAATTTATCACTACCAGTTTGCTGATACCAAAAATATTTCTTTTGTGTTGTTAAGAGATATATTACTACTAACATTTTCCGTTATTTGTAACGCATGCATTCCCCATAACAGAGTAGTTAATTTTTGTAAATGAACCGTTATTCATCATTACAGATGAAAAGCATAGATTCCCTGACATCAACGTTTTCTTTGTGTGTGATTAGCTCAAGTGTCATTTATGATAATTAAACAGGAGTGAACAGGAATTTTTTATGTCACCTGCTTGATAATTTAAGTATAACAGATGCCATTGGTTAACGTAGTTTTCTGCACACTAGATACTAGCATCAGTAAACGTACACTGATTTTACCAAAGACTAATTTCAAACAATTGCAAAATTCCCGTAACCTCGTAGAATACTCTTTAACATTTGAAACAGTAAGTTTGAGCTGCGTTTGAGCTTCAGTCGCAGACCTGTCCAGCTGACGAATCGGGAATTAGATGACAGGAACCTTCTAGATACCCACTGATAGTCAATGTTGATCAAGAATATAAAAATGTGAAAGACTCTTATATTAAAAGTGTAATTAAGCGTTAATTGAAGCATCATCAGCGTTCCACTAGATTGTTAATGATTTCACACCTAACAAAACTCATGTTTCCTGGTACTCCATTCGTGCAAAAGCAAAAAGATAACAGTTACGTTTTGTTTACATATTTCTTTATTTGTCATTTACTTTCAATTAAAAAACAACTGGGATTTTCTCAAAACAGATGACATCATCACTGTCACAGTCATCCTCACTACAAATTCGTAAAGCTCTTCTGTCTGGAGAAGAATCAACGCATTTGCACCATCAGAATGCAGGACAAAGTTCTTCAGAGTGCTACAGTCCATCGTTAGCTAGTGAAACTGCATCAAACACAGAGCGAAAAATTGCATGCTCTGTCACAGATTTGAGACAGAATAAAATTGCATCCAAACATCAGAAGCGTTTAGACTCGGATGCAGGAAGTCGCTCAAATCTAAGCATAGCCAGTGGGGTAAGCAAACTGCATGTTTTTTTTGTTGTCTTTTTCATTTGTGCATTCTAATGCAACTTAATCACCTTCAATAAGAAGAAAGTTTAGGATTAAGCGTCCTAGGAATGTACTGGATACTCCGGCTAATTTTTAACATATTAAACTGCTTAAACAAAAAGAAAAAAATGCTGTGTTTACATCGTGGTTGCTGGTTTATCTGAGTTATTCTTTGAACTAAGACGGAATCCTTCAGTCTGTAAGGATCTTTTATTTATTCAGATCTAGAAATACCAGTCAACTGACATCATCTAACCTTAATTGGTGCAAAACACAAATCAAATCTGGAGTTTTTAATTAATTAGAACTCATTCAGTACAATACAAAGCATTCAAAATTAAATATGTTATTTCTTGTTTTCTTGATAAATATAATCTTGATTGTGCCTGACTCATTAAAGTATCACTAAAACGAGCATCACTATTGCTCCTAGAATACTGTTAAGATTAATTCAGCTTCTATGTCCCCTTGCAAAGAATAGCTTCACTATAATCATTTGAAAGAAGATGTTGGTTTACGACCATAAACTTGTCCTAAAACGCAGTCAGTCTTTAAGTTATTAACTCTGTTTGTTTATCAACAATTCAAGTTCCTCTGAGGCCATAATTATAACTAATTGACACAGAGGGCCGTTTCGCTAGTTTGGAGTCAAGGTCATTTTGACTCAGCTGAGAAATCCAAAGCAGTTCAAAGCACTCAAATTCCAGCTAGCTACGTGATATAGCTGTAGTTTACAAAGTGTGAAGTCAACCCTGGGACTGCAACAAATAGTATCTCCTCAACTGAATTTCTAGGATTACTCTGTTAGATTTAGTTTTTGATGTTGGGCAAATGTTAATATCCCACCAGAGTGAGAATCATTATTCAGATAACCATCCTTTCCAGGTTACAGACTCATTTTACCTTAATTTTAAGAGACTCAGTCTGCACGTCATTTATCCAATAAAATTACTGACCGTTAAAGTTTACGCCGAATGGGATAGGGTACACATTTTTGAGAAATGTCTTATGAAAGAGATTAATAAACAATTTTACATTATGAAGTTTTGTTTTAGGAAACTTATTTGTCACTAAATCTGTAACTTCTATATTCCGTGTAACAGGCCTTAGAGGATAAAATTTTATGTACAGTAGACAAAGCACAGTCCACAGATAGCGGTATAATTTTAAATTTATCTTCCTTGTTCAGTTAGCTTCTCAGCGCATCAAGCTATGACTATCAGTGCTTTGATTCTTCTTTTAATCACACACATGTTATTGTGTGCTGTGAAGTTTAGCTAGCTTAAAAATGTGACAATCCCTAAAAGCTTTACTTCGCATATTCCAATATTTCAAACATTCACCCAGACTCTTCATTTTATCATTCAGCTTTAAATGCCTTTAGACACAATTGTGTTCTTTCCTTTCAATCTACATAACATTATCTGTCGATTGGTATCTTTAAATCACTTTTATACAAGAGTATTAAGCTTACAAGAATAATTTTGTCTTTTTATAATACAGTAACCATAGTGATGGTTAAAATGAATTGGTTAATTTTCAGCATTGTATTATGCATATAATGAGCAGCATACGTTTCAAATTTTCCACTGCTGCCATATTCTTTCTTATTTTACTCTTGTTTATCAATATTTTATCATTTTTCTCATCGACCTAAAATGTAAGGAAGTGAAATTTCATCAAAACTCTGTAGAATGGAATAGTATCAGAAGTTAATTCAAACAAAACATGTCTTAATATGAAATAAACTTTCAGTTTTCAGGCTTTTTCAAGCTGAGTATACTTTTAAAAGTTAATGTTTCTTAAGTTATATCTACTTAATAGTAAAATCAAGAGAATTATGCTTTGTAATTCCTAATCTTCATCCGTGTGTGTAATAGTGTCCAAGGGAAATGTATGATGCTGCTCGCTACATTTGAACTTCAGTATCTAAATTACAAACAGCAAGTTTTCCTAGAAAATGGTGACTTACCTAAGAGTGGTTTTGAAAATGAGTAACTTAAAGGCACTCATAATAGAATCGTAATATGCATCTTTCAGAATATTTAGGATGAAAGAAATTTTAGAGACCTGAGTTTCAGTGACTGTCCCTCCTGAAAAAATTATTTTGGTTTGGACATCTGATGAAGAATTATGCTTCAGACAAAAAAGTAGACTATGTTCAGCAGCATTAATTCTGAACGGTGAATGGAAAGCGATCGGACAATTTATTATTATCAGAAGGAAGATAATGCAAATATATAGAACAGAATTACTTTGTAGCAGGTGACAACAGAAGCATTTATCCGCCACTTAAATTCAGTCTATTTGGATTTTAAGTTCCACATATAACCCCAAACGTAATTATTGGGTTCCTAGTGGAACATACGGCTTCAACTGCACGTCTCCACTTACTTCTGTCTTCCTTCTGCTGTACTTTTCACCTGAATCCATCCATGTTAGTCCATACTCTTTCAACTCCTCTTCACACGATCTCCTCCATGTCACCCTTCCACTGACGTCCCACTCGCCGCTTCTCTTTCGGCCTGGTTCCACTCGAGCGATGGCTTGACACGCGATGTCACCCAGTGGTCTCCTCAGCGAGCGAGTGTCCAATCCATCTCCACTTTCTCCTGCATATTTGTTGGCTGGCGATTGGTTCTTGTTTTGTTTGTTCACAGCCATAGTTTCTTGTTGGTGAATCTTTCCGGCCCGGCCCGGCCCGGCCCGGCCATCTGATCTTCAGTATAGATCCAGCGAAGACAGTTGTTGATAAAGGTAACGTATGGAACAGGCTGTTGGAAATATTCTTTGTGACCCGCCCGCCAAGTTTCTGATTCGTATAGAAGAACTGACTGACTTGACGCTGTTTGTATTGAAAATCCGACCGAATTTTGTTGTTGATACTGGCTGAGTGACGAAAATTTCCAGATTGGTTGTTTCAGGTTGATGAGTGAATGTGTTTCTCGCCTTTCCGATTCTGGCTCGATTTGACATCCTCATCCGTTTCGACTTCCTGTAGTTGAGACAATCCTCCCTAGATAAGTGAGTGAATGAAATGACCTCTTTCAAATCCCTCCCGTTGATGGTGATTCGCGCTGGGATTAGTTTTTCCATAATACAGTTATCTGATGTTTACAACATTTTGTTAGAGCAGAAGGTGATCCAGATAGTACGAATTATTCGTATTCTTTAGAAAGAAAGTAATATATCAGCCTCCGTTCAATATATATATATATATATTCACACCAGTTACTCAGAAGGTACAGTTTCTACATTAAAACAATAAAACTAAAAGTAATGCCACTTTTCTAGTGGAAGGAAGATCTGTCTGATATTCACTGAGTTGACTAATGAATTCACAGTAAATGCGATACAAAGTTTCTATTGGTGACACATAGCCCAAGCTGAAAATATTTTGATGAAAAATTCAGGACACCCAGTAAGCTTTTTTATATTTGTAGGGATCATACTTTTATTATTGAATGTTTCAGAGCTTGATATCTCGATAAAAAATGAAGCGGTTATTAGCCTATTCAGTTTAACTTTGTACGGTGTATAACTGGGAGTATATGCACAAGAAATAATTCGTTATACTAAATATCACCACTTTACTGATATTTCAAAATGTCACTCTATAAGCTTTCTACCTTACGTAAAAAATAATCCTAATCTGTTGGTTTCTTCATTAAGAAGTAAAATAACGGATTTTCATACGAAAAGTCCCATTTCATCTGATGTTGTAAGTATTATGCGAATGTGCATAAATGAACAGTCTATTATCCTGCAGCTAAACACTTGAATCATGAAATATGAATCAAACAGGCGAACATTGTACGCGCGTATAAGTGAAGGAATAATTAATGTGAATATTTCGAAACAAAGTTTTCATCAGAGCTTTATTTTTTTGACTACATACAACAGTTAATGGAGGCAGTTTGAGGAAAATTTTCGAACTGTATCTATTACATCTATAAATCACCAAAAATGAGCTTTAGCATATGTAACGTTCTTCTGATTATCTCACTTTGATATATTAAGTTTCTTTATTGTAAAAATGTCATTTGATAGGTAAGACACTTAAGTATGATCTTATCTTAACTAGCTATGTGTTCTCTTCATATTCTTTAAAACAGTAATATCATTAAATGTCGACATCTGTTATGTAACCAGCTCTTTTTTTGTACACTGTGCAACTGTGTTATCTGCATTCTCTATTTACGATTACTTTTAATTTGTATGTTCTAGGTGTATCGTGATAGTATACACAAGTCACCTGCAAAACCGAATCCGCCTAATGTACTTACAGTTGAACACAGAAGTAAATGCAGTTCATTAAACTCAGTGGAGTTAATTCACTCATGTAGGCATGAAACTATGTCACTTCCCAAAACTAACGAAACTTTTGTCAATGAGATTTACGATAGTAATCTCAAACCATCACCAAGTGTTTACCCATTGTTTAACGACATATTACGCAAAAATCATGTAATTAGAAGCTAAAAAGAAATTTTATTATTCAGTGTTTAATAATTGTCCCTCAAGTATCATTTTCATGTGGTTTTACATATTTTATCGCTTCAGTGTCAATTTTAAACAATTGTCTACTTGTTTGAATTTTATTATTTATTTCAAAGAGGAATGTTTGCTTTCGCTTTTTAGCATGCATATGATGTTTACCTTGTACAGAAGCCCTCGTAGGTGTGATAATGCAGGGGTTGTATACTTGTTTTCTAAACAGCTGCTTAAATTCGTTGTGGTGGTTAGCTTTGTGTTGCTATGGTTGCTATCAGGTGTTTGATATGAGAATTACTAAACTGTCTTAGGCTGAATAGCTTTCTTTGAATTCATCTGTTTACATTACATACAAAATGCCTTTTCGATTACCGTGTAGATTTGTGAAGTTACATCTTCCTCTGCTTCGCTGATAAACCACTGTAATCTAATTTACTAAAATGAACTAACGAAGCTACTAATTTTAATACAGATTGACAAACAGATAGGCTAAAGATAGATTTCATCACAAACTTAAATCAGTTTGAGAACAGTTGGAAACGAGGAAGTACTGCTCATTAATGTGTAACTACATGATGGACTTCCTACGGTTCGAATGAGAAGTTGTGATCAGTGGAGTCCACCGTGATAGTTATAAGGACAGATACCTGTCAGTGTTACTGGAAGTCAGTGACACTATGTCGCGAATTATTAAACGTAAGAATTCATTGGTTATTGGATTCCAGTCCGGTAACTGAGTGACTAGCGTGTTTGTCTCATAAACTGAAGGTCTTGGGTTTGATACCTGGTGGAGTCTTAAATGCTCACTACTGAAGAGTCCAAGACTAGGATGAAAAAGCTGTGCCTGTGCTACATGGTTCTGAAGAATCCTCTGAGTGCTGCCAGTCGGTGACAAAATCTACCTTAAAATCAATGAAGTCCCTGCAAGTCAACATTTGAAGATAAATTAAAATTTGTTGAAACCAAAACAGCAAGTTAATCACAGCAATGTGATTAGTCAGCTGAGCCATCTAGTGAATGGGAGCGGATGTTGGAAGCTTCTACGATCTCAGCACGGCAAATCAAAAACAAATAGCTGCAATTCGTAGAAGCTGTGGCCTAAAGTTGACGTCATTGTTACTAATGCGTTTTCACTTCATCTTGAATAAGATTGTGCTACTGTTTCTTTTCTTTTTTATCTCATGGTTTTCAGCTTTCCGTAATATTGCTGGTTTTGCGCCTTCCCTCTTGTTTAATCCTATTTTAATGCAGACATACGGGTATCAAGCTTCTTCAGCAGACATTCAGTTACTGTCGATTATTGTATAAATAACTTTTCTTGTCTAAGTTTCGTAAGGAGGTTATGAACTGGTAAATAAAAGTTTCAGTTGGTGTTTATGAGCACAAATTTTATTGATTTTTGGTGTAAACACACAACGTGACCACTCGTGTCTGTCTTCTTTTTATGAGAGAAATTAGTAGTAACATTGTATCATAGTGAAAATTGAATCGCATATTGTAGCAATTTATATTTGAACACAAAACAACATTGTGAATATATTGTTTTGAACTGTCATAAGTTTTCAAAAGTGAATCAGTAAAAGAATGCACTTTACATCTTCGGTCCTTTTGATTGTTGTTTTTTTGCGTGCGTACATCCTCTTTGAATATACACCTTTACAAAGTGCAGGCGTTATGTTGTGTCTAGCAGATATTTTTCTCCACATAAAACTGTATGATTATCTGGCTTCATTTTGAGCGTTTCATTTTCATTACATACATATGTATTTTTTTCTTAAGATGCCTAGTAAAATTAGTAGTCTGGCAAGTCAATTTAACTGTTGGAATGTAAATGATAAGACCATTTTAATTTGTGTTCTGCGTGTGTGTGTGTGTGTGAGCACTTGCATCACTGATGACTTGTAAATTTTGCTGTGGTGCACAGGGTGCTAAATTTGTTGTAGAAAGAGTAGAACAATTTACTGATTTAGTTGATGGTTTTGATAAGCTTTTAAAAGTGTAATATGGTGGTGTGGTGTTGCGCATACCACGTTTTATCTCATTTTCGTTGCAGTGAGTAAATAATTATTTGGTGATGACGTCGTTTACACATATATGTATAATAACTTTAGAAAATGACAATTTGGAATAGGAAAATTTGTTAAACAGTTACTATGGCAATAGTTAAAATCACTTGTTTAAATTCAGTGATGAATTTAAGTCACAAAGTAACCCTAAATGATATGTGGGAAATGTTTACTCGCTGTACTGCGTTATAGAGTTCGAGATAGATATTGTTTAGTTGCTTCTGTGGCACTAAGCATTTTCGCCTCTGGCTATGAAATCAAGCAGGCCATATCAAGGTATGTTTGGCTTGAAGATAAATGGTTTTCTGTTAGAAAGTGTCAGGGAATTTCATCCTTAGTACCTTAGTGGGATAAACTTTTGAAATATCTTATTATCGCAAAACAGTAATAAGTGCAACGCACATTGAATGAAACATGAATTTCCTCAAAATCGCAGATATTTTGGGTTCACTAGTGTCAATGAGCATTAAATCAGAGTCCATGGTTCCCTGTCTTTTAATATCAAATTAAAGCTCAGAGTGATTTCATATTACTTGAATATGCAATCACACGGCAAACCCAACGGCACCCCAGACTTTAGAATAGTCATTTGCGTCGGCTACCAACTGGTGACTGATTTACACTTGAACATCTACGGTATTCTGTGTCCTTTGAGACGTTAAATTTCACTATGAATCATTTATATTGAAATTCAGAAAACATTAAATAATTCTAATATTCATTTGGTGCTACTATCTCATATATAGATTATATAATTATTATCAAATGTAATATTAACTATGAAAACTATTCATATATGTTTATGTCCATTATAAACCACATGGCATCATTTCATTTAAGTGACTCTAAAATATAAAGTGATATGAAACAATGGTGAACTCAGTAGGCAGGGTAAATGAATATCAAACCTATAAATAACACATGAAAAGCTAAAATTATAGGCATTCACAGTTGGTAGACAGCAAAATTGCAAAAATCACAAAATTAAAGTTTTTACATTCAGAAACATGGTGAACATTTTCCCTACCTTCAGAATAAATGATAGTGATGAGAAAGCTTTAGTTGGGTTACCTCGCTCCGGAAGAAGGATTACTCACTTATAGTATTTACAATCTGTAGTCATTGGAAACTTGAATTTTATTTGGTTACTGTAAGACACCACCAAGTCTCTGCGTAAGGTAGAAAAATATTTTAACTGCTTCTGGAATATTTTCTAAAATTCTGTTTTTTTTTGCATGTATTCATATATTTATCTAAAAACAAGATTAGCCATGGTTCTTCACTAAGTATATACAGTGAACGTGAATCAAGTTATACGCATGGTATTCATATATCTGGAGATTTACTTTTGATAATGTTTTACGATGATGCACAGAACGCTCTACGTGTTAGCATTAAACAGGCGCGTAATCTGGCAATAGCAGACAAAAAACATAATACAACAAATCCGTAAGTAGATACATTGATGATAACATTAGTTAAATGTCTCGTTTGTATTTTGGTAATCTGTTTTGTGAGTTTTTTTTTAATTATAAAAGGAAAATAAGTGAGACAGTCAAACTAACCAATTCATGACATGTAAAAATAGTATTCTTTATGAATTTGAAGTTTCTGACACTGAAACCTGAACACACTTCTTTAAAAGAGATCCACGTAGGTGTTCGAATGATTTAAGATGTGAGAGTTAGTATAATTCAGTCTTTCAGTGTCATTTGATTTTCATTATGGACATTATTTTCAAGGAAGAATTACACCTAACAATAAACGACTTATTGGCCACTTCATTGAGAAATACTAGAAGATATGTATCAATAAAATTTTGTGTGAAAGTAATTTGGTTTAACATGTATTACGGCTAACACTGAACACCTTTTTTAAGGTGCATTAGTAAGCAATGAAAATGAATTCTACATGCTAAAAAAGAGCCTGATGAAGATGGGTGTAATGTTGAGAAATCCGTCTTTCTAAAAGTGCTTGAATAGAAAGAGAGAAAGGAACGGCTTAAACTGGTACCCTCCGAAAAATCAAAACTAGAGACAATTTCTGAATACTTGAATTAAATCATCTAATGAAAATTAAAATAAACTAAATAGATACAGTTTGAATTTAACCGCACATCATAAAACATTTTCTTTCACATAAAAAAGCACAGTTAAAACACAAATATCTAAAGTGGATAATACACGATTTCTTTCTTCCAGCAGCAAATACATCAATTATTATTACCATTTCATGTTTTGAGTAAGAAAAACTATTATCCAAGAAAATATGTCAGCTGTCTTCTAGTGAACTTTCACTTGCTCTTTATTCATTTCGAATTCAATTAGATCAGTATACTATTGGAGGTACTTCCCAGTATTTTTCATGACATTCAACTTCTCTAAAACCTAACATGTTCATTTCATAAAGTCAACTGACTGTTAGAAAATGACACATTCAAACCTTGGACAAACTGTGGATTAAAAATGAAATCTGCATTCACAATTTCCGCATTTTTTAAACTTACATGCTTGAAATGTACACTTCTTGTTTAACGCTACTAACTTTAATACTTTCCATCATAGTTTCCTATTATAAATAAGCGTGTTTCCAAAATGTGCTCAAACCGGTTTCTTAGACTTGTACATTATTTTAGAAATCAATAATGATATGTGCTCACTATACCTGTAGCAGACAGAGTAAACGTAATGAGGACATCCTTTTATGCGTGACTCACTTTATACACTCTTTCACCACTTTCTAGTTTATATATATATATATATATATATATATATATATATATAGTTCTCTAGGCTAATATGTATATAAAATAGATATGGTGCCTTAATAGTTAATCTGTAATGACTAAATTGTATTAAGTGTAGGTGTATACAAGAGCGAAATAATAACAAAACTCTTGCCAAATTAGAGATGCGACATTTAAGTTGTCTTTCAGGTTTGGCACACAAAATAGGTGCTGCTATATTTAATCACGTTTACTGAATTAATTTTTATCAGAAAACTGCCTCCATCTTCGATACCAAAGCAGTTGTTTTTCTTGCTACAAGTCTATTCTCTGTCATAATAATTCTATAGTCTTTATCAATGTTAAACTTCATTTTTCTTTATAACTAGCACGTTTTACTTTTAAAAAGGAATTCCGTGTTTATGTCTCACCTTCTTGTGGATGTTTTTCTCCTTTTTTTTCAACTGAAAACCAGTTATGTGAAGTCTTATTTACTACCAGACCGAACAAAGGGAAGTAAGCGAAAGACATCACATAAAAAGGAAACATGTAATCCAGTCTTTGACGAAGAGTTTAAATATCATATACTCAGACAAGATCTTGCATCACGTACACTTCAGGTGTCTGTTTGGCATTATAATGCATTAGGCGTTAATTTATTTCTGGGAGAAATTCTCTTGCCATTGGCCTTTCATCCATTTGATCAAACTTCACATTGGTACACCCTTGGTGAACGCGTAAGTTGAACTTTTTTTATTAGTAATATTGCTGTAACATATCTGTCTTCATGGATTCCTACACTAAACTTAAAAATAACCCGATGTGACCTCACTTTTAGTGAGTGAAGGGTGGTATTATTTTCTGCGATGTACAAGCTTCTTTAACCTAACTCTGAAAGACTTCCATATAAGGTGCTGTTTTTTCTTTGTATCTCAGTAAACGTTAAATTAATGTTGAATTACTGTAGGAACTAACATTCTGGATAAAATGATTAGTCACTTATAGCATTTAAAATTCCCCAGTTACTGGTAACTTGACTTCCAAGAAAAAAAGCAATAAAAACTTTCACTAATGATAAAGTGGAAAGTTAATGAGCTCCCATCTCCTGGAATAAGGTGATAGGAGGCGGATTTAATAGGCGCAGATGCGAAGCAAGACAAAAAGAAGATATTGAGCAAGATGTAAGTGCAAAAGCACATTCATCGGACGGACAGAAAGAAGAATTTCTGGCAGAATATCTGAGCATATTCCAAGAAACTCGTATCTGAAGGGTGCAGAACTGCCAAGTAGTATGATGGCTGGCCACCTGTTAGATAGCTCTCATGAAATTCATGTATCAAAGCCCTTTAAGATAGCTCCAGTTTGCTATGTATGGTTTGAGCGATTACCATCAAACGATTACAGTCAAATTTATGCATCCCAAAGGAAACCGATGTTAATCTTGCATTATCTTGGTAAATACACTTTGTGTCATTTCATTGTATTCTTGTTAATTTTGTTATTTCAATGGTATTTTGTTTTGACGATATAATTTCCTACTCTAATTTCGCCTTTATTTATATTCTTGACCAGACTCCTTTTTGACCCCTGTTTAACTTAATTGTTTTACACTTAAATAAACGTATTTTTGATTTAACGCCTCCATTTAGCTTGCAAGATCCGTTCATAATTCTAGAATATTTCCTAATTATTTCTATGCATACTAACGAGCTTAACAACCTCTTTTATTCCTTTCCACTATGCGACTTAATCACGTGATATTAACATCCTTGATGATCAATAACTACAGTATTTAAATATTTTGTACATAACAATAGATATTAAACTGTTCATTGTTGTAGGCAACTGGAAAGGACCGACGAAATATAATGACGTCATTTTATCCTGCTCAATATGTCTCTGCTGTGTTTATGTCCGTCTTGTGTTTGCCTACCTATCACTAATTAAGTAGCATAAATAGATAAATGAAAGTTTCGGCTAAAACTTTGTCATAAGTTACCACACGGATAACCAGCTTGTGGCGGCCTAATGATCATAGTAACGTCGTTTTTCGATCCTTCGATGTCGGTTCTTCTTATCATTGAGGAGCCGAATCCACCAAGCGTTGGATTGTTCACCCACTAATAGGGAACGTGAGCTGGGTTTACACCATCGTGAGACCGGTTAGTTTTACCCTACTAATGAGTACAGTAATCAGTGAAGTAACAGAAGCATAATCCGTGTATTTGATCAATTTTTGTTTCCGGTCTATGCTTGCATGAACAGTCAGGACAGCATCTGCTATGATAAAACCAGATGGCTTTTGGTGCTGTTACGACGACTGAGTCATTTTTCAACCTATAAATACTCTTGGATTTTTCATTAAACTGTCTTAATCTGTATTAGTTAACAACTCAAATTAATTTTTGGAGAGTTGTGACATGGGTTCACAGTAACTTTCAATATAAACGTTTATTAGCAACAGTAGTGAATATCTGAAGAACTTAACATCTACTAATGAACAAAGGAACATTGACCTATGTAGAAAAGTTCCTGTTGTGGAATAAAATTTAGCCACAAAAGGTTTATATTTTTTTCAGTCACCATTGTAAACAATACATGAGGATTAAATCTTAAAACAAAAAGTTGTATATATATATATATGATCGTACACTAGTTAGAAACTAGTGTAATGTGTCTAACCCTATCTTTGGTGCAGACTGGATTCTATCAGTCAAGCAGTCAATACAGTCCTACAGGAGGTCAGTTGCAAGCCTGAATAGCTCATTGGTAACGTCTCTGACTGCAGCACTGAGTGACGCGGGTTCGAATCTCAGAAGGGACCTAAGTTCCTTCGAGGCTGCGGATATGCCTTGCTGATGAGTGCCAGTTAGCACAAAACCTAGGTCAAGAGCAAGGCTTCCTGCCGATGGCATCCAACCACTTTATTGTTATCATTGTTCCCTTGGGTTCCTAGTGGAACATACGGCTTCAACTGCACGTCTCCACTTACTTCTGTCTTCCTTCTGCTGTACTTTTCACCTGAATCCATCCATGTTAGTCCATACTCTTTCAACTCCTCTTCACACGATCTCCTCCATGTCACCCTTCCACTGACGTCCCACTCGCCGCTTCTCTTTCGGCCTGGTTCCACTCGAGCGATGGCTTGACACGCGATGTCACCCAGTGGTCTCCTCAGCGAGCGAGTGTCCAATCCATCTCCACTTTCTCCTGCATATTTGTTGGCTGGCGATTGGTTCTTGTTTTGTTTGTTCACAGCCATAGTTTCTTGTTGGTGAATCTTTCCGGCCCGGCCCGGCCCGGCCATCTGATCTTCAGTATAGATCCAGCGAAGACAGTTGTTGATAAAGGTAACGTATGGAACAGGCTGTTGGAAATATTCTTTGTGACCCGCCCGCCAAGTTTCTGATCCGTATAGAAGAACTGACTGACTTGACGCTGTTTGTATTGAAAATCCGACCGAATTTTGTTGTTGATACTGGCTGAGTGACGAAAATTTCCAGATTGGTTGTTTCAGGTTGATGAGTGAATGTGTTTCTCGCCTTTCCGATTCTGGCTCGATTTGACATCCTCATCCGTTTCGACTTCCTGTAGTTGAGACAATTCTCCCTAGATAAGTGAGTGAATGAAATGACCTCTTTCAAATCCCTCCCGTTGATGGTGATTCGCGCTTGATGTTGCTGTTGTTGTCGTTGTTAGCTGGTTATTATCATAACCTTCTGTCTTGTCTATGTTTACTTGGAGTCCTATCTTCGCCGGCTGCTTCTTCGACCAGTTTGTCGGTTTTCGCTTTTAAATCTTCGATTTTGTGTGACATCAAACATAAATCATCCACGCGCGAAATCCAGGTCTTCTAGGTTCTTCACCTAGGTCCAGGATACCCCTGACCTGTTTCTCGTTTCCCACTGTCTGACGCATAATCCAGCCAGTCCACCAGAATTAGGAATATCATTGGTGAGACACAATAAGCACCCTTGTCTGACTCCTGTGTTTACTCCAAACGCCTTGCTGAGTTTTCCGTTGTGGATGACTTGACATGTGCCGTTGTCGTACAGTTGTTGAATAAGGTTGATGAATATTTGAGGTGCGTTGTCGAACTCGAGCAGTTTCCAAATTACTTTGCGGTCAGCGCTGTCTGTTGAAGGCCTTCTCGAAGTCTATAAAGTTGAGGTAGTTGAGGTTTGATTTCCATTCCATGCTTTGTTCTGTGATGATGATGCGTAGAGTTGCAATTTGGTCAGACCATGATTCGCCTTTCCTAAATCCAGCTGGTTCTGGTTAGAATTCTGTATCCAGTGCGTCCTTTATTCTCTCTAGGATGATGCGACTCAGGATTTTACTCGGCGTCGACAGGAGCATGATTCCTCGCCAGTTCTTGCATAGTGAGGTGTAAGTCGCCCTTCTTTGGTAGTTTCACGAGGTAACCTTTCCTCCCTTCCAGACCTTTTGCAATAATGGAGTGAGTCAGCATATCTGCTGTAGTCTCTGGTCTGCTTTCAGTGCTTCAGGGAGTATTCCATCTGGTCCAGCTGCTTTTCCAGCTTTCAGAAGCTCGATTGCATTCAGGCTTTCAGCTTTCTTTAGAGGACTGGTGTCAACTTGCAGTTGTGTACACGCTGTTGTTGGTATTTCTGGACGGGATGTTATTTTGGACAGTATTTATATAATGTACAGAATTTTCAAAGGAGTTTATTTCATGATATTTCCCTTCGTACAGTATCTTCACGTAAAATACTAGTTGACAGTATATCCTGTGACACAGTGATCTCTGAGCTGGAGCACACATCATTCCATTATGATATATCTGCTTTGTCTCGTTCATGAAATCCATGATTTCTAGTTGGAAGTCAACTGTAAGAAATTCAGCAGTACATTTGGAGACCCATTGACATAGCTCAAGAACAGTTATCTCATGTATCACATGTTGCTATCCACAATTAGGCCTTTCCTCAAGTTTAGTAGGAACTTGCAAATCAGAAACTTGTATACATTTTAAATGCACACAAGAGTAGATAATGCCATTAGAAGTCATATCTTAATCTATTAAAACGGGACGACAGAAAATATACGCAGTAAAGAAATGGTAACCCAATTTTTAAGCAGGCCACCTAATATATTCACACACACACACACTTGTTCCCTGTACATTTTACCGAAGGTTTAGTCATTTAATTTATTTTATGAAAAGCATAGGATCTGAGGATCTTTTCTGAGTAATGGACTATTTTACAGTTTTCTAGTCAGTTTTCTAAATCAACAGTGATAAGATAGTATTCGTCTACAAAAAAATAATATGTATACACTTTATGGATGTTTTCACCATATCATAACTGAATTTAATACCATTGCTTTGACTTCTACCATCTTGGCAAAACAAAAATGAAAGTGTTTTTTAAACTAGTCGTCTACATATGACGGTTGTTGGTAAAATCTGAAAATTCCACTTAGTTGTCAAGATCAGCAAGAAAAACTATTTTATTAGAAGCAGTTCAGCAGTAAGTGTGCGTGTGGTGTATATGTGCAAAATAAATTTTAAGTTTCAGAAAGTTCTCACTTTCTTCAAACACATCAATGGAAAATGATCCACTCTGACTGTTAGTTATCCAGTGAACATTTTTTGTCCCAAAACTAATAATAATAGGTAGGTGTTTTAACGCGCATTCACTGACTGGAATTTGAGTGTTTAAACCTATCGACCAAATATCTGTTCTTCATGATTAAAATAAACGCTTTGCGAGAGCCTTTTACTGATACAACATTTTGATGCCTTTTCTGCGTATAATCACTGAAAACTGTAGTCACCGATTTTTTTTTACCCTATCCACGCAATCAATCTATGCTATTACTACTACTTAGCGTCTTGTTCCCGCTGCATCACACTTACAAATTCATCGAGGTGAAGTAATTTTGGCTGTAAAACTTGTTCCAGGTGAAGTAGGCAGTGGTCTTTGCGAAATTCATGTGTGGATTAAATCTGCGAAAGGATTAAGCACATCAACTGGTGGGAAAGCTCCTAAAAAGGATAATGTTGATCCTTATGTTAAAATGTGAGTACTCATAACATTTCGTTACCGTTTGCATTCTTTTTATTCTGAAGTAAACCGTTTATCTTGCCATGTTTTTTACTTTTTTATTCAATGCTACAACACAAACATACGTCTGATGAGGAATCCACATGTGTATAGATGTTCAGGATTAGGAAACACTATTTTACTAATGATAAGAAATTCTGAATAAAATACTGTGAAACAAAAGTCGAACTGGGTACATGCCCCTGGAGGAACTTTTGAACATTTTTTGTTTAACAGGATTCGCCTACTGAAAACTGTGTAGAAATAGTTTACATAACACAGAATTTTTAGACTATTAGATTTAGATATGTTTCCAAGAAATTTTAGAATATGAAGTAGTAGCCATGGGAACAAAGGAATGTGTCCGTGGCTATCATTTCCTGAATGGCTATATCTGAGAAGTTAACTTCTTATTAAAACACCAGATTCTATAGAACTGTCAATTGAGGCCGGTCACATACAACCTGCTTGGTGTAGCGCTGATAGTTATAAACCTCACTGCATGTTGTGAACCACTGGAAAGAAAATGGGGATGCGTAATTTCTGGAATCAACCTTTCTAACCCTTCCTCCTCTGACTAAAGAGGCAGTAGAGCTGACTGACCAACTTTAACAAATGTGACAGTAAAATGAGCCTACAAACCAAATTCACAACTTGCAGATTATCTGCGATTTGCAATTCACATAGTTCGAGGAGGTGAAATCTCACCACAGTTTGCTTTGGAATCTAAATTATTCAAATCACATTATGTGATCCACTTGGTACCATAAATTGTAATCAAGCGAAATGGCAATCCCGTGTTTAGATTACCTCCATCTAGCTACCAAGCACTACTGGTTGATATGAATGGCATACAATTACTTATTTCAAACAATCAGTAGTATACCGTTTTGTGCAAAAATTGACCTTGATTGCCCCTTGTATCTGAATCCCTAAATTTAGCCAAAAGTTTGTGTATTTCACTAATTGTGAGATTTTTTCCCTCATTTTCATACCAGTGAAAATCCATCTGTTGGGACAACTCAAGTATTTAATATGTCATGGGACATGAATCCAAACAGTAATGAGTACTCTGTAACCTTACTGTTCTTTGTCAAAAGCCATATTAGAGCACTGAAAGTTCTTAAACCTGTTTGTTTAACAACTTCTTATATCCTCACTAACGTAGTACCCTTTATTTATTGTTTTATTATTTTTATGTATTCCAGCATTCTTTTTTGTGCTTAACTGAGGAATCCTAATGACATTTTCTGAAATTCATAGATACTTGTTACCAAGTAAAGAAAGGAGTTCGAAGCAAAAGACGAAAGTGGTTAGGAAGAATAATAATCCTGAATGGAACCAGGCAATCATTTATAGGGACATATCGCTTACTTCTGTAAAAGATATCGGCATAGAAGTGTCAATTTGGGATCATGATCGCTTTTCATCAAATGATTTCCTTGGAGGGTGTCGACTGAACTGCGGATCATGTGAGTTTTCAGTTCGTCGTATACTTCTTGATTCCATTTGTTAAGCATTCACATTCAGACAGTTTTGGTAAGAATGTTTATTTGAGGCCCTTTTTGCAGGGAATTACTAGTTTCATTTTAACACATTTTAAAATCGCTGAAAATACCCATTGAGTCATGACGAAAATAAAAGACAGATTCAGCGAAGAAAATTTCCTTTATCGACGAAATCATCTTCAGAGGCTATATAGTCTTATTTAAATTTACCAGAAATGTATAGTAGTCTATTATTGAGTAATACGGAGTGAAATAATTGATATAATTACTCAGAAGTGGCCTTATAAGTAAAAATAAAAGTTGTAAGTTATGTAGTACTCACCTGCTCCTGTGGAGCTTGTTGTATTTGCCGCACAAAGCTCACACTTTCCAAACTCATCTCTGAACATTATGCGACATGATTAGCAAAAGGACGATACAAAACAGTCACTAGCTCAATTCTCGGGCACTTGGTGGACTCAAACTACATAGCTCCACCAAGGTCGTCTTTAAAGATTATCTACAAGGTGAGGCCAAATGATACAAAGGGCTTCAGGTATCAGCATTTGTCTTTGGTGGAGGCGTTGGCAATTCGTCAATACAACCCCTAACTCTGTATGCAGAAAAAGTTTGTCCAGTCACTTATTCTACCATGGTCTCAACCTCTTCACTAGCTGTTCCCTGAAATTTTTTAATTTTGCTTCTAGTTTGCTTTTACTTTAATGATTAATTCACTATTATCACTCTCATATATTCCTTTTGTACATTTCCTCACCCTCTTCACACCCAAATGCCTTCTTTTCACTAAGTAAGAATTTTAACCTTATCAAATTTCTAACCCTTTCTTCCTTTTTGCCGTTGAGTACTACATAATTTACAACTTTTATTTCTACTTGTAACGCTACTTCTGAGTAATTATATCAATTATTTCACTTTTTTACTCAATAATAGATTACTATACATTTCTGATAAATTTAAATACGACTATAGAGCGTCTGAAGGTGATTTCGTCGACAAAGAACATTATGAAATCTTCTAAATTGGTGATCCAGTAACTAACGAGTAATCTGTACAGCGTAAACTTTAGAGAAGGTTACACTAGGAATGCCTTTAAAATCGTTTTTGAAATGATTAAATTCCCCTCATTGTTGATTTCTAAATAAACAATTAATTCCGAGGTTTCAAGTGCTTTAATATGACCAAAAGTGACCTTTTTAGCAGAAGGAACAACTGGGATTAATAAAAATGACTAATACTGTTTTTAGTTACATCTTTCATGTGCTTTACTTCAATGCACATAGCGTCATATAGATGAAATTCTAACCAATGAAGATGAATTTCTAGGCTAGTATGAGTGTCAAATGTTGCAAATTATACTAGTAATGACCGTAATAATAGCTATAATAACCACAATAGTAACAAAGGTATGAGTTGTTGGTACCAGTTATGAACACTCTTAAGGAACTGAAACGAAAAGAAATAATCTCTGAGTCTGCTCACGAATCTCTTAAACCTAGTGGAAATAACGAGTTACTTTTATATGGTCTGCCAAAGATACATAAACCAGGTCTCTCTTATATTAATTTGTTTGTTAGATATATCACACAGTGAAGCAGTGTTATAATACAGTCTTACGGCCTTTACACAAACAAGTTGTAAACTGCAGTGTGAATGATATCCTCAAACTTAGATTATTTTAGTGAGATTAGGAATCACATGATATCCTTAGATGTTTCATCATTATTTATGAATGTAGCACTGATAGGGATATTGGAATTCATATGCCAGCAGACATTGGAAAAGCAGGCTGATATTGGAATCCCAGTAATTATCCGTAGGAAATTGCTTCTAAGATGTTCTATTAACATTCATTTTAACTTACAATAACATTGACTATTGATAAGTCGATAGTGCGCCGCATGTTCTCCATTAGGCTCAGTTTTGTTGGATGATTTCGTCTTTAAATTAAGAAATTTTGCATTGAAACATGACAGAGATAAATTGGACTTCTTTCTTCATTATACTGATAAATAGTACTTTGATTACTCTTCTCAGAAAGCTGATAAGAACGAGACTCTAAAGAAATTTAACGACTTGTATTCATCATCTATTTTCTCCTGTGAAGAAGAACAAGAAACCATGCTACATGTTATCGATATTCTGTTGAGGACAAGAGCAGGTGGTTGGCTCAGGAAAAATGTTTATCGAAAAACTATTTCTACAGAATAGTGTACGCATTTCTTTAGTTTCAAACCCCTCCTCTATAAAAATCAGTTTGTTAAGATATCTGACAAATTGAATGGAAAGGATCTTCGCCAATGATCACTTTAAAAAATTCAGGTTACATCCAAAATGGATTGCCCTAATAGATTTATCAAGAGATATATGAATACAGCACGCAGTAGATTAAAAGCAGTCACAGTCACAAAAAACAACTGTTCACAGTGCATCAATTCTTTTGGCGTATAGCAAACGAATTTCTGTGTCTAAAGCTTTCGAGAGGTATAAAAGTGACTTGAGCTGCATCATTACTCAGGTGAAAGATAAGTTGCCTAGCTGTACCACTTCGATCTGCATTTACAAATTTATCTGCTGCGGTGGAGACAGCTATTTTTTTGCAAACCACTAGGCAACGTAACACAGAAATTGATGAATACGATTGCGTAAAGGCCAGACAAATTCAGAGGAGATGAATTTTATCTCATCTGATTGACAGTAGTCACCAAACAAGCTAAAGAAGTGTTTTCATGGTTATTTGTTGTATTCAATCTAACTTCCAGATAAGGATTTAAACTTGTCTACTTCACAGTTGAATCTATAGGAATTTGAGTAAATAACCGTAGTCTTTGCATTAGAAGTAAATCTGTTTTGCTTTTGTCTTCTTCTTGACCCAGGTAAATTTAGTAAACTAATCAAAACATCTCACCTCTTCCTTATTCTTCACTCCCTTTAGATATCTCCAATAGTTATCTGATTTGAAGAATTATTACTTAGAAGTACTTTCAGTCGTTAGAACAAGTTTAGTTGTATGAATAAACTTTACACGTTTCTATCTGTCATACAGTAACTTAAGAACTGGAAATTCCGACTATGTAGAAAACTCCTAGAAATGGTACCTGCCCATAAAAGATAACTTCTGTAGGTTATTTATGACGTGCTTTTATACATATAGATATATATTAGAAATTAACTGGTCGAAGGTGACTAGCAGTGGAATCCAGGATGCACATTTCATCCTATTTAGGACTTGTCAACTGGATTTACCTGCATTTCGCAATGAGTGATGATGTTCCCACCGAGGTTAGAATCCAGTGACCAATTAATCTGGTGGATAACGCTTTGGCGTTTGAAACTACCGTCATTGGGTTCTAGCCTCGGTGGGAACATCATCACTCGTTGCGAAATGCTGGCACGTCCAGTTGACGAGTCCCATATAGAACGAAGTGCACATCCTGGATTCCACTGCTAGTCATCATCCACTAATTAACTTCCAATTACATGCCCAGACATCGTCGAGACATCTGCACAAGAAGCCAACAGACATGTCGCCCTGAGACCGAGAGCTTCTGTCCAATCAATCGACGGGAAAATCTAAATTCGAATTAAATAGATATATATTACTTACAAAAATTACAGTAGCTGAAAAGTACAATAAAAAGAAGTTTTTTGCATTGGAGCGTCTGAGTAATTCGGTGGATGGTGACCAGAAGTGGAATCGGGGATGCGTATTTCGTCTTATTTGAGGCTCATAGGTTATATGTACTTACATTCTCTAGTGAGTGATGTCAACAGAGGCCAAGCGTTCCGGTCCAGTCAATCAATGGGTTAAGGAAAATTAAATTAAAAATAAATTGATTGAGTCATGGTGAATTCTACTTGTCATTCTTTTTCCACTGTATTGATAAGTATGTGGCTAGATTAGTCTCTTAGCAAGGTATGATTTTACAGATGATGAGGTAGTGCTTGGCATAGTAGAATACGAATAACAGTGGCTTTACAGCATTTTTCACTTCTGTGTATAATATCTCCCTTTTTCTTCGTCGTCGAATTTAGAACTGAATTTTTAACTCTATTTAACCTCATAACAGAATCTTATAATGTATACAAGAACACTTTTTACAATAAATGGTCGTCTTCTCAATATCAGTGATTGCTTTTTTTCGCTTTACATCTTCAGTAAACCAACCATGGATGGATGCAACACATGCTGAAAGATCAGTGTGGATGGCTATGATGGAAAGACCAAACACCTGGGTTGAAGGAACAATACAACTACGGTCGAACTTGAACTAAACGCATTGACTTTGAAAAAATCCAGTGCTTCCTTTCTGATTTCAGTTACAACGACCTGCTATTATTATTATTAGTAATATTGATTAAAGTATTGAGAATAACAATTGTGTTGATGAATCTAACCGATTACAATACTTTTGATTAAGAAAATAATACAAGTTCTCTAATGTCAGTGCTGCATCACAAAACCCACCTCCCGACTTTTTATAATCATGCGCCAACTGTTTTAATGGTTGCATTTTCAAAGAAGAAAGATGAAACACTTTTGAAAAATATTTTCTTACACAATCTTGTTATCTGCATCACTCTCTTCTAGTATTATTATTATTAGTGCCACTACTACAAATTTTTCTATCACTCTTATGAGCACCACTGTTCTTGCTGTAATGAAAGCTGCTAAAGATAAAAGAAGGCGAAAAGAAATGTGTGTCTGCACAGTGAAGGTGCGGTATGTCTCTCGTTGCCCTACTGAAACATCTTCCATTTCTCTGGCTTGTATCATCTCTCTTCGTTTGTTATGATTAATGCTACTTATTTTGCATACCACAAAATAATATAAGAATCTACATACGGGTTCTACTTTATTGTAATACACTCTTCATTTTGGTTATGATTTCTTTGCCTCTGAATAACATAAAAAATATATAAGCTAAGATTTAGTCGAAGGTAGAAATAGGTAACTTCATAAAATATAGCAAAATACCCAGAAAACTGGGTCGTCCACAACCGAAATATTTCACTCATTAGCTAAGATTTAGATCACTGCACGTAATGTCCATGAATTTCTGAATAAATTTCCACAGAAAGTTATGAACAAAGATACAGACATACATGTATGAATTAGACTGGTGAACAGCTTATAAGGATTCAAATAGTGACATATCAATCACGATATGGATCATTTTTAATAAATTTGTACAACATTAAGATATTTGACAAAATAGCTCATCTGGTACATTTCTAGGCGAGTAATTCTGAGGCTGTTACTCTAAGCTGTGATGTGGGCCAGATTTCCATTACACCATCAATCACGACTCATTACATCAGTAACATTCCGTCAACTCATTTTGTTCTCAGGCAGTTTCAAGATTAATGAGATGTTTCGTCAGAAAGTTTGAGTTTTGTTCTTACATATCTTATGAAAGTCGGCTCGGTAAGTCTATTACCAGCTTGTTTCAATCAATTGGTTATAATAATTACACACATACCATATTTGAAACTAGAAAGTTAATGTCGAATAAATACGAATCACAATTCAAATGATTTGGCTGCAGGAATATTTATAGAAGGTTAGGCTGTGTAGCATTGCTAGTCGATAAATGACATTTGGTTGACTATTCAAATTTATGCGAGAAAATCCATATGAAGGAACTTTTAAGATGATGATAAGTTCGCCCCAATAGAATGAGTTTTAAGAAACTGGAGAAAGTGTCAATTCAGTCTGTTCCAATACAATAGGCACTGAAGAGCACTTATTAAGAATGAGTCTATGAACAGCAAACAATGATTGTATGACTCCTTATATAAAGAAAGTTTCAGAACCTCTTGGTTGACGGTTGCTAATACTTGAGGTAGACATGGATCACACATCTGATTAATTTACTAAACAGCTTGAGATATAATTGATTAAGTACAATACTCCAAGAATAATATTAGACATCTTTCACAGAATCATTTGCGTTACATTAAAGTGTCACTGTTCTGGATAATCTTCCTGCTAACAGTGTAAGATATTAAATAAAATTGGAAGATACTTAAGCAATACAGTCGAAATCAGTCATGCAGACAAACTGTATTATGGTTGAGTTTAAGAAAACAAAAGAATCATGTCACAAGTAGGTTCAATATGCATAAATAGATATTTGAAGATATAGTAGGTGTATGAGCACTGCGTGTGAAAATTACATGAATGAGCAACAGAATTTGGTAGAAATATTACGATTAAATGTACTCAGTAGAACAAGTCGACTAACGAAACAAATATGTTTCAAACTTCTTTAGTCCGCGAATGTAAATAAAACTCTTTACAGATACAAAAACAGCTCTAGGACCTGATTTGTGAAGTAATCCGGAAGAATTATCTTTTCACTTAGTCAGCTGTATGCAAAATTGCAACAAATTAAGACAGATTCATCCCATAAACTTGACGGAGACATTAGGTCAGCTGTGGACTAATTTATACAGTCACTCACATAAACAACAAAAATGAGTTGACACAAAACAGTCAATAAGCATTGCGAAAAGAAACGTTATAAATAACTTCGCTACTTATCATTGCACACTGGAAGTGTAGAATGGTATTTAAGCCTCTACTACAAACAATATTGCAATGGAGTACATATTTATTCAAGCATTTTTAACCTAACATGAAAATTCTTATGGTTAAGTTTGTATTCGGAATTTACCTAGAGAATCATTAAACAACTCAGTGGTTGAATAATTCACGTTCAGAGGAATAAACATTGGAGTGTCCGTGGAGAGGGGGGTGGCGGTTTAACTATGAAAATATTTTCAGACCAAATACATCTATCTGTGTTACACATCTTTTCTATTGTTTCGGAATATCAGAATACCTGATCAGTTGAATGAATCATGTATATTAGCAGTGTTGCATTTGGGAAATGACAACATTTCCAAAAATCATGGATGAATTTCCAAGTGTTCTCAAAATTGTGGTACTGACATATTAATGTTCATTTAACAGCATTGAAAGAAGAATGAGAAGAGGCTCGTAAACGATTAAATCGCGAACTCATACTGATTAAATCTGTTTCTATATTGGAAGTATATTTTATAGAATTTCGCAGCAGACTTGCATATTACCAAAGATCTCTGCGAAAACAATACAGAGTGTAATGACAGAAGGCAAGGGCCAAGCAACAGATCGTTTATTGAGGAAACCAAGAGATATTTATATATTTTTATGTACATTACTATGTGTTATTACTAGCACAGAAACAACGTCTTCTGATTGGTTGTTTTTCTGTTGAAAGTTAATCCGTCACCTCTTTGTGGCCGTTTCTTTGAAGATCAGACCATATATCTACCAATCGTATCCGCCTATGCAAAGTCTTTGTTCTTGTTCTTCTCATCACCAAGATTTTGGAAGTAAGCATTGACGTAAATTGTTGTCTACTAATTTTGGCTAGCAGAAAGCTCTCACCATACGAGTACATTATGCGTAACATAAGGAAAACTGTTGGCCTTTGGAAGGTTCGGCTAAAGATAAAACATTAAAAAGAATTTTCTATAGTTTTTGGTTTGTAAGGATTAGTTATGTTTTACGAGTTGATCACGGATTGATATCAGTTAGAGAACCATTGAAAACCAGGGAGTACTGGACAGCTGCTGTTTCATCCTAGTTTGGGAATCATCGGCAGTACGCACCCACTGGGTTTCGAACCCAGGACCTTCCGGTTACAAGGCAAGCTCGTATACCATTCAGCCACTGGGACCCGATTCAATGGCTCGTGAATTCTAACTTCTACCAATTCGTGATTTAGCGCGACCCCAACCATTGTCGTTGGTGGGACATCCATCCACACACGTGACATCTAATTGGACCTCACTGGTCACGACTTCTCACTAGAACTCAGGAAACTCCAACCTGTAGCAAGTCACTAGCGAGCATCAGATTAACTTTCTATAGTTTTTGGTTTGTAAGGATTAGTTATGTTTTACGAGTTGATCACGGATTGATATCAGTTAGAGAACCATTGAAAACCAGGGAGTACTGGACAGCTGCTGTTTCATCCTAGTTTGGGAATCATCGGCAGTACGCACCCACTGGGTTTCGAACCCAGGACCTTCCGGTTACAAGGCAAGCTCGTATACCATTCAGCCACTGGGACCCGATTCAATGGCTCGTGAATTCTAACTTCTACCAATTCGTGATTTAGCGCGACCCCAACCATTGTCGTTGGTGGGACATCCATCCACACACGTGACATCTAATTGGACCTCACTGGTCACGACTTCTCACTAGAACTCAGGAAACTCCAACCTGTAGCAAGTCACTAGCGAGCATCAGATTAACTTTCTATAGTTTTTGGTTTGTAAGGATTAGTTATGTTTTACGAGTTGATCACGGATTGATATCAGTTAGAGAACCATTGAAAACCAGGGAGTACTGGACAGCTGCTGTTTCATCCTAGTTTGGGAATCATCGGCAGTACGCACCCACTGGGTTTCGAACCCAGGACCTTCCGGTTACAAGGCAAGCTCGTATACCATTCAGCCACTGGGACCCGATTCAATGGCTCGTGAATTCTAACTTCTACCAATTCGTGATTTAGCGCGACCCCAACCATTGTCGTTGGTGGGACATCCATCCACACACGTGACATCTAATTGGACCTCACTGGTCACGACTTCTCACTAGAACTCAGGAAACTCCAACCTGTAGCAAGTCACTAGCGAGCATCAGATTAACTTTCTATAGTTTTTGGTTTGTAAGGATTAGTTATGTTTTACGAGTTGATCACGGATTGATATCAGTTAGAGAACCATTGAAAACCAGGGAGTACTGGACAGCTGCTGTTTCATCCTAGTTTGGGAATCATCGGCAGTACGCACCCACTGGGTTTCGAACCCAGGACCTTCCGGTTACAAGGCAAGCTCGTATACCATTCAGCCACTGGGACCCGATTCAATGGCTCGTGAATTCTAACTTCTACCAATTCGTGATTTAGCGCGACCCCAACCATTGTCGTTGGTGGGACATCCATCCACACACGTGACATCTAATTGGACCTCACTGGTCACGACTTCTCACTAGAACTCAGGAAACTCCAACCTGTAGCAAGTCACTAGCGAGCATCAGATTAACTTTCTATAGTTTTTGGTTTGTAAGGATTAGTTATGTTTTACGAGTTGATCACGGATTGATATCAGTTAGAGAACCATTGAAAACCAGGGAGTACTGGACAGCTGCTGTTTCATCCTAGTTTGGGAATCATCGGCAGTACGCACCCACTGGGTTTCGAACCCAGGACCTTCCGGTTACAAGGCAAGCTCGTATACCATTCAGCCACTGGGACCCGATTCAATGGCTCGTGAATTCTAACTTCTACCAATTCGTGATTTAGCGCGACCCCAACCATTGTCGTTGGTGGGACATCCATCCACACACGTGACATCTAATTGGACCTCACTGGTCACGACTTCTCACTAGAACTCAGGAAACTCCAACCTGTAGCAAGTCACTAGCGAGCATCAGATTAACTTTCTATAGTTTTTGGTTTGTAAGGATTAGTTATGTTTTACGAGTTGATCACGGATTGATATCAGTTAGAGAACCATTGAAAACCAGGGAGTACTGGACAGCTGCTGTTTCATCCTAGTTTGGGAATCATCGGCAGTACGCACCCACTGGGTTTCGAACCCAGGACCTTCCGGTTACAAGGCAAGCTCGTATACCATTCAGCCACTGGGACCCGATTCAATGGCTCGTGAATTCTAACTTCTACCAATTCGTGATTTAGCGCGACCCCAACCATTGTCGTTGGTGGGACATCCATCCACACACGTGACATCTAATTGGACCTCACTGGTCACGACTTCTCACTAGAACTCAGGAAACTCCAACCTGTAGCAAGTCACTAGCGAGCATCAGATTAACTTTCTATAGTTTTTGGTTTGTAAGGATTAGTTATGTTTTACGAGTTGA